TTTTTTTAGATCAATAAAGGTATGGACTTTATAGAAAATGGACTTGATTTAAAGTAATTATGATGCTAAAAACACTCACTTGAAAAACAAATAGTATGTCATGTGTTAAAATGCCTAATCATTAGACCTAAAAATAAACCTTAAGTTTTCTGTTATAAATGTCTAACTACGCACCATTATACTACATATATATTTTTTTTTTCACATACCATAAGTTATCCGTGACCATCACGGGAATTGGGTCCACGGATTCATGATGAACATAGTGTATGGCTCGGCCATCGGGGCGGAGCTATGGGGTTTGTTCCAAGGTATATCGCTAGATTGGATATAGGGGCCCGTAAGATTCAAGTTGAAGTCGACAATAAAAGCGTGATTGCGATGGTTCAGGATGCCTATCCGACCGGACCTCATGGTGGCATTTTGGCGGGTATACGAGAGTTTTTGGGTCTGAACTGAAAAGTGGGGCTTTCTCATGGCTATCGTGAATCCAACTTTGTGTCGGATTATCTAGCGTTACTTGCGGCTAATGGTCCAAGCGGTCTTCAAAGGATGGAGCGGCCTCCACCGGAAGCAAGCATATGGTTACATCACGATAGGATTGGTGTGTCTTATTTGGCCGTCGGTCCTCATTTAGGCTGTGTAGCTTCCCTTTCGTGTACCAACAAAAAAAAAAAAAAGAAAAAACAACATAATGATTATTATAACAGTTGGTAGTATACTATATTTTTATTTATAAATTATGACGGGATGATTTGTCCTACAATTATTCTGTCTCACACAAAAATTTGCATTGAAAAAATTAAATCCCTAATTACATCAAAATAATTTTTTTTTAAAAAAAAAGAAATCATGGCCAATTAAAGACTGTATGTAATTTGAGTATAAAACTTATGAAACCAGCCACTCCCAATTTCATGAAAGTTGTTATTTTGTCTGGTTAACGAACTTATTAGGGCATGATTGTTTATCATCCCTACAGTAATTTTTTTTACTCAAATTCAAATTTAACTCAACTTTAACTCAACCCCACTATCTCCAATATTATTATATAATTAAATAACATCAACAAATCATTATTACATATCACATCAACTTTAATTCACTATTCATCCACTCACATAATTCTAACTAATTTTAACTAACTATCACTTCCAATAATATTTCTCCTACTTTACATCAAATCAACTTTAACTATTTTATATTAAATACTATTTTAATATATCCACTAACAACTAACCATACAACTTCTTCTTAAACTTAACCATAATTAAAAAATTCTAGTTTTTTTAACTATTCAAACCATAAACAATCACCCCCTTAGTTATTACCCAATGAACAATAATAATATTCAATAATAAATGTATCTAAATTCTTTTATCAGGGACCCTTTTGCTAGAGTTGTAAATGAACAAAACGTTCGCGAACAAAAGCTCGTTCGAGCTCGTTCGTGTTCAACAAAAGCTCATTCGTTTGTTAATCGAGCCGAGTTCTAACACAAAATTAAGCTCGTTTAATAATCGAACGAACACGAGCTCGTTCGTGAACGTTGGATTATGTTCGCGAGCATTAATTTAATATATTTTTTTTATATATATTTACATGATATTTTTATTAAAAAATTAAAATTTAATATAATTTTATATATTTTCTATATATTTACATAACATTTTTAATTAAAATATAATATATAAAATTATTTTTGTTTATTCTTTTCTTTTCGAGTTCGAACGAGCTCGAACGAATAAATTTCGAGTTAATCGAACATATTTAAAAAGTTTATGTATTAAATTATTCGAACACGAACGAACTCGAACTTTGACGATCAATTAGACGAACGAACTCGAACACGATTTTTTGCTCGAAAAATAAACGAACGAACACGAACACTGTTCGAACGTAAACGAACACGAGCTCGAACAACCCAAACTCGGTTCGGCTCGGTTCGTTAACAGCACAACCTTTTGCTGCCTTTTTTCAATAAAAAGGGAATAATTTTTTGCTCTCCTCTAATTATAGAAATGTAACTATCAGAGATAGTATTGAAAGCCCTGAAAATTTTTCTGTTACTCATTTATGGGTTTGCTTGTATTCTTCTACACTCAAGTAAATCAATACTTATAAAAGGTTTTTTGATATTGTCAAAACTAGGTAAAGTAGTGTCAGCCCCTTTTTTTTCAGTCAGAATTTAGATTCACTTTTTGTATAACCAAGCAATCTTAGACTACAGTACTGCTCTATATATATCTACACCTATCCTAATAAAAAAAATAAAAAAATAAAAATAAATAAATATTCAGAGTGATAATCTGCAAGAAGTGAAATATTTTGGGTTTTTTGGGAAATGGGCAGTCTTTAAATTTTATTTTTATTTATTGGAAATGAGAGAGATATATAAATTAATGTACATTGCATGGTGTTCTTGCAGTCCCAAGTGTTGGCAAAGGAGAAGAAAGTTTCCATTTTTCTGCTCCTTTTCTACACACAAACACACACACAAAAAAAAAATAAAAAAATAAAAAAAAAATACTATCTTCATAATCACAATTACATTCAAATTGAGTCATTTTTTTAATTTTATTTTTGGGTTTTTTATTCACATTATGAGGCCAAGATTATGTTTTTTCATTGTTCTGTTGCTTCACATTATGCTCAGCTTTGCAGGGGGCAGACATTTGCTTACTACAAATGATGGTTTTGCTGTAAATAATCATCAAAAAGGTTTATTATTATTATTATTATTATTATTATTATTATTATTATTATTATTATTATTATTATTATTATTATTATTATTTTCCAATTACATACAAAAATGCAAAATAAATATTCCTTATTTTTTCACTCTGTTTTTTATGGACTTTGCAGGCCCAAACACAATCCAAAACCACCAGTCATTGAAGATAAATCACAAATCAAATGAGGTATATATGAATAATTGAATATACATATGTGCATAGATAACATAGTTGTTTAAACATATAGCAAATATTTTAATTACTATGCATAATTTTCTTTATTTTTTTTAAAGGTAAAGGGCATTGTGGAGAATACATCAAAGTACAAGGAGATGAAGAAAATGGGCTCAAGGCCACCAAGCTGTGAGCACAAGTGCTATGGGTGCATGCCTTGTGAGGCCATTCAAGTGCCCACAACAAACAGAGTGTTGGGCCCCCAGTACACTAATTATGAGCCTGAGGGCTGGAAATGCAAGTGTGGGCCCACATTCTACAGCCCATAAAAGAGACCAAAAGAGTTGAAAAAAAAAGAGGCTTTGAATTGAAACAAAAATGTGTCTTTTTTTTAGGGGGTTAATTAATTATTTTTTGTTTTGTTTTGTAGATGTGGGAGTTATTATTAGTAGTTTTTGGTCTGATTAGGTTGGAGTTTAGAGGAATTGTTCAATGGGTGTGTTTGTAGTTTGGATCATGATGTGGATGGATATTTTATTAGCTAATTTGAAGAAGTTTTTTTTGGTGAAATTATTAAGTAAAATGATGAATTTACTGCCTGTTGATTCAGTTTATGATGATTTACTTTTCAGTTTAACTTTTCAGCTTTTTTTTTTTTTTGGAAAAGATATGTTGTGTGATGTTGGTACTTATTATACGTTCGCGAACAAAAGCTCGTTCGAGCTCGTTCGTGTTCGATAAAAGCTAGTTCGTTATTAATCGAGTCGAGTTCGAACAGAAAATTAGACTCGTTTAATAATCGAACGAACACGAGCTCGTTCGTGAATGTCCGATCATATTCGCGAACATTAATTTAATATAATTTTATTTTTTATATATTTATATAATATTTTTAATAAAAAATCTAAAATTTAATATAATTTTATTTATTTTTATATATTTACATAATATTTTTAATAAAAAAGTAAAATATAAAATATTGTTATTTTATTCTTCTATTTTTCGAGTTCGAACGAGTTCGAACGAAAAAATTTTGAGTTAATCAAACATATCTAAAAAGTTTATGTATTAAATTATTCAAACACGAACGAACTCGAACTTTGACGAACAATTAAACGAACGAACTCGAACACGATTTTTTGCTCGAAAAATAAACGAACGAACACGAACACTGTTCGAACGTAAACGAACACGAGCTCAAACAGCCCAAGCTCGGTTCAGTTCGGTTCGTTTACAGCACTAGTACTTATTCTTGTTCAATGTATACTGGCTTGTGAAGACAACTTGAATCAAGCATTTGTGAGTTAAACTATTCACAAAATAAATAGTGAAGATGTTAATCATTTTGTCGGGGTTTATAACCGTTAGATTAACTATCCCAAAGAGTTACATGATGGTCTAACGGTTACAAATCATGACGAAATATTTCCGTAACGGGACAATAGTATTTTCCAATAAATAGATGACATGATTTTACTATAATGCTAGATGGATCTTATAAATAATTAATAGAGAATTATTATATCAGCTAATTTAATCAGGTACTCAAAATCAATCATCCACAAAAAAAAAATAAAAAAAATAAAAAAAAATTATACTAATAATAAAATAATAATAGTAATATAAAAAAATCATCCAAGTGTCGAGAAAGATCATCCTATTGTACGTTGGGTTGTGGGCTTGTTGCTCTTATGCAACATTGGACATAATTTCTGCGGCCCATTGGACATATAAATGAGCCCACGTACTGCCATTTTACTCCTGTCAAACGGCCACTGAAATTACCTTCATCAGTGTGATTCCGATCAGAAGCCAGCAAATTCTTCCTTCAAATCATTCGCTTGCAATGGCCGCCTATCACAGTCGAGTACGTTTTTTTCTATTTTTTTTGCTAATTTTTTTTTTCTAAGCAAATTATAATTTGCTACGGCTTTAATTACGTGATCTAAATACTTTTGGCATTTTGTTTTCTGACTGTTGTGAGATCCGACCCGGACGCGTTCGATCCTTATCATTTGTGTTGATTTTATAGTTATCCTTGAATATGTGTGAATAATGTGATGAAAATTTATCTCTTTGATCATGGCCTGTAATATCGGTTATTGATTTGGAACCAATTTCGATTTTTTTGGATATCCTTGTTCATAAGAGGTATTCATTTGTAGTAATGTGATTCAGGATTGTATATAACTTAGTTATGAATTGGGGTTATGAAATTGGGTGCTCGTGGTGTATGTATTCAGTGTATGACTATGAAATGTGATTAGTGATTAATAGTTTGGAGGGTTTTGATTGGGTTGTGTAATGCAGGAGGCTTGCCCAACTGTAAGTAGATTGATTTTGTTAAGAACTTAGCTCTTTGATCATGGCCCGTTGTGTACTCTGTATATGGGTCTGTGTTAAACGGTATATCTGATGCATCAACTGGATATCCTCGTCTATAAGAGGTATTCATTTGTAGTAATGTGATTCAGTAAGGTATATAACTTAACTATGAATCGGGGCTTTGAAATTGGGTATCCGTGTTGCATATATTCAGTGTATAATTAGGAAATTTAATTTGTAGTTTAGAGGGTTTTGATTGGGTTGGTGGATTGCAGGAGGCTTGCCCAACTGTGAAGAACATCCTTCTGTTAGACTCCGAGGGCAAACGTGTCGCCATCAAGTACTATTCGGATGAATGGCCCACTAACAGCTCTAAGCTAGCTTTTGAGAAGTCCGTTTTCACGAAAACTCAAAAGAATAATGCTCGTTCGGAAGGTACATTTAACCCTATGCACTATTCATGATTTAAGATGGTCATGATATAAGATGGTAACTTCTGGAAATTGGGTTGACATGATTGTTATCTTTGAGGATGTTATGGGTTTGGATCATGGAAATTCACCTCAAATTACTTTTTGTTATGTCCAGGGTCATTTAGTTGTGGCTTAATTTATCTATTTTTGCTGTCTGAATCAAGATTAATAAAAATTTTTTGTCTATCAGTTGATTGATCCATCCCTAAGTTAATGAGATTTCATGATCCCGACATTATCGATACGCTTGTATTTTCATTAAAGACTAAATTGATTTACATATGCAGAATTAGAATTTCCGTAATTGCTAGTTGATTTTGGGAGTGCTGATCGTTTTAATGTGTCTGTGTAGCGGAGATCACGATGCTGGAGAACAATATCATTGTGTATAAGTTTGTTCAAGATCTGCATTTCTTTGTGACTGGAGGTGATGATGAAAATGAACTGATTCTAGCCACTGTGCTGCAGGGTTTTGTTGATGCAGTAACTCTTCTCCTCAGGTTTTGAATGAGCTGAAAGTTTACTCTAATTTGGAAGTACCGATTTTGTCAGCTCATGTCTCGGTTTGTTTGTGTCAGGAACAATGTTGACTTGAGGGAGGCACTTGAAAACTTGGATCTTATTCTTTTGTGCCTTGACGAGATTGTCGATGGAGGGTAGGTTATGAACTCCTGTAGAAGGTCATCAGATGCTTTATTCTCTATACATGTTGACTAAAATTATCTTCTGCTCTCGTCAATCTGTATACAAATATTGAGGAATGATTAATTCATGCATATCTTTTGTTAATATGATGTAGCCCTCTGTGACTTTTGTGATCAAGTTCAAGGCATTTGAGTTCATTGTGATTTGAAATGATTTTCTTGCCTTTTCTTGTATTCTTCTTTGTTGCACTTGAAAGTATGAATTTTACCAATATATTTATTTATTCATTTATTATTTTTGCAGGATTGTTCTTGAAACTGATGGTAGTGTTATTGCTGGAAAAGTGGCCTCCCATACCATGGATGATGGTGCTCCTTTGTCTGAGCAGGTAATACTGCAATCTCTGAGAGTTTTTTTTTTCCTCCCATATCTTAATATTTTGTGTGATTTTCCTGCTATATCTTCATTGCATTCAACTATGTATGAATGAATTCATTTAATGCACACAAGACGTTAGAACGCAAGGATATATGAAACAAAATTAAGTTAATGGGCTTGACTCGACAGTCGACACTGGAGTCAAAGAAGATATCCTCAACTTATAATAGTTACAAAAAGATCCAGATATCTTCCGAAATTACAAATACCACCTTCAGATCTTTATTCAACCTTGCAAATTCTTCCTCAATGTCTAGATGTTTTAGACTATGAAAAAATGAAAAATTGTTGGATGAGAAATATGATGTAGGTAGTTTTGGCAATTAATTATTATCCCTAATCTAACACAGCAACAGCAAGTAATCAAAATATCCAATAAAGTTTCGATGATTTGTTATTCCATTGCTATGTGATCTCAAAACGTGTTAATATCCTTCTGCAGACGATAACTCAAGCTCTAGCCACTGCGCGTGAGCATTTGACAAGATCGCTCTTGAGATGACTCTCTCTTATTACTTGCTACATTGGCGAAACATTGATTTTTCGACATTCTATTTACTTGTAGCTCCTTTTACGGTATTATCATTTTAATTTTTCCAAGTTTTTCATTCAGCTGAACACGTAAGGTAATTGTGTTGGTTATCTGGTTATTACCATTTGTTCTGTCTTATAGATAACATGATGATGATAGTGCTCCGTTGGCCTCGAGCGCTATTATATATCCATATCAACTTTTCGATTCTTTACTATGCGAATTCTCTCTTGGGGCATTTGTTAACACTCGATTTAATGTTGTTTGTAGATTTGAGATAATGTAAATTGATATGTAAACTTGCAGATAAAACTCAAAATATCAAAATTCCATTTTCATGGAGCTTCAAGCTTCTTTAATCGAAAATTACAGAAGATAATGTCTTAGCTGAGCTGAGGGAAAATATAAAATCTAAACCAGCTACAAAGAAGCACGTGTAAGCCGACACGTGCGAACTAAAAACTAAAACAGATATTAAGTAGCAAAGATGCGCTTTTAAAAGTGTTCGACACTTTTACATAATAAAGAAACAAAACAGACTGCATGCTTAAAAAGGAAGCCATGCACGATCAGTCTTCACTCATCATTCTCCATAGAAATCGAAAAAGTCAACACCCCCCCGTCAAGCTGGAATGAGGGTATTCACACGCATTCCAAGCTTGATGAGAAAACGTCGAAAATCTGCACCTCCAAGAGCCTTGGTGAAAAGATCCGCTGGTTGCAAAGAAGAAGAAACATGTTGTGGTGAGATAAGTCCTTCCTTGAGCTTGTTGCGCACGACGTGGCAATCAATATCTAAGTGTTTTGTGCGTTCATGAAAGACGGGATTTGCGGTGATGTGTAAAGCTGCCCGGTTATCACACCAAAGTGGAACTGGAATATGAATGTGTAGAGCAAGATCTCGAGCTAAGTATAGTATCCATTGTAACTCACAAACTGTGTTGGCCATGGACCTGTATTCTGCCTCTGCAGATGAACGAGAAACAGTTTTCTGCTTTTTTGTCTTCCAAGAAATTAAGCACTGCCCCAAGAAAACACAGTAACCAGTGAGTGATCTCCTTGTAGTTGTACAACTACCCCAATCAGCATCACAAAATGCCTCAAGTTGAGAAGAAGGGACT